TTAGAATGGTTGTCAGCATATCAATCTTAACATCTCTGATGATTTGGTTAGTGCATCTGTTCTTCTACTGAAAGATACGAGCGTTACGTTCTCTCCAAATGTTGTAAACTGTTGCCGATAACGCCATACGTCTCACTTTCAGTTTGAATCTATTCCCCTTTAACCTGTTGATGAACCAGTTGATGATCAAAATCCAATCACAGGCTCTCCAATTAAATTGGAGCCAGTTCATTATTCCATTCCAGACTTCATTTGAGAACACACAATCAAAGAATAAATGATTGCGGGACTCAAGGCCAGCACCTTCACATAGAACACAATGAACAGATTGAAGAAGCCCTCTATTAGCAAGCCTATCTTTTGTTAGGAGCTTATTTTGGATAGCCAGCCATAATATAAAAGATTGCCTAGGAGGATTAAGCCTTTCCCAGACAGTTACGTACCAAGTCACTTTGTTGGCTGAAGGAGGAAGTTTTGAGTACAGCAGAGAAAGCTGAATTTTAGAGTTCCTGCAGGAAGAGTTAAAACACTGCTTCAAGTTGATAATTCCTCCACAAAGAGTCACAGCTTTGTCTCTCATCTTCAACAATTGTTTCCAAAGCCAAGAGTCACCAGTTTTTGCACTTACTTGCCATATATCACTGCTTCTTAGATAGGTACCATGGATCCATTTGATCCATAACAGCTCCTTAATTATCAGTATGAATATGCCAGATAGATCTGAGAGCTGATGCCATGTTCCACTTAGCAGCTGAAAATATCCCTAGTCCACCATATTTTTTCTCCATACACACTTTGTCCCAAGACACAAGAGGAGTTTTAGATTTATGATCAGTTTTGCCCCATAAGAATTCCCTGCACAGAGCATCAATTTTTTGGAGGACCTTAGCTGGAAGTATATAACAAGAAGTCCAATAGATTTGAACACCCAAAATCACACTCTTAATGATATGAAGCCTCCCTGCATAAGAAAGATTACCGTGTTTCAGCCAGATTTGGAACTGATCAGTAATTTTTTTGAAAAGAGGACTGCAGTCCAAAAAAGATAGCCTTTTAGTGATGAGAGGCAATCCAAGGTATTTGATAGGTAGTTTTCCTTCAGGAAAGTTAAGGAGATGGTTGATTTCCTCTTTTACTGAATTATCCACTCCTCCGTAAAAGATAGAACATTTGGACATGTTAGCTTCCAACCCTGAAGAGTCACTGAATTTCCTGACACAGCTGTAGAGTTTATGGACAGAATAGAGGTCACCTTTGCTAAATAACAAGAGATCGTCAGCAAAAATCAGATGAGATATTTTCAGCTTCCCACATCTTGGATGAAACTTGAATTTACTGTCATTCTTCAGCATGTTTAATTCTCTTGACAGATACTCCATCACAATAATGAATAAGTAGGGAGAAAGTGGATCACCTTGCCTTAAACCCCTAGCTCCTTTGAAATAGCCGTGGAGGGAACCATTCAGAGAAATGGAGTATTTAGGTGAAGATATGCAACTCATTATCCAACCTGTAAAGACCTTAGGAAAACCAAGTCCATTGAGCATATTTTGCAGAAAACTCCAATTAATTGTGTCGAAAGCCTTTCTAATATCAATATTAATCATGGCTCTAGGGGAAAGATGCTTTCTACCATAATTTTTTACCAATTCATGAGCAAGCAAAATATTATTTGATATTTGCCTCCCTTTTACAAATGCGCTTTGTGCTTCACTGATTAGAACCCCCATGACAGACTGAATTCTGTTTGCAAGGATTTTAGAGATGAACTTATACAAGCAATTGCAGCAAGAGATTGGCCTATATTCAGCAGGGGTTTTAGGGCACTTCACCTTAGGAATGAGAGTGATAGAGGTGGAGTTAACTGCACCAAGAAGTTTTCCAGTTTTAAAAAACTCCTCAATAGCTTTGGTGATCTCCTCACCTGTGATTGACCACGAAGATTTGTAGAAGGAGACACTGTAACCATCAGGGCCTGGGGACTTATCATCAGACATGGAGAAAATGGAATCTTTAATCTCCTTCTTAGAAACAGGCTTAGCTAATTTCCTGGCTTGAGATTCATTTAAACAGTTTCCATTTTGAATGGTGTCAATATCTGGAGCAGTGGTAGGAAAAGAAGTACCCAGCAAATTCTCATAATAGGTGACTATCTCCTTTACAATCAGATCCCCATCAATGATCCTATTTCCAGAGTTATCATATAAGACCATGACTCTATTTTGGTGTCTGTTACTCTTAATGATAGGGTGAAAAAATTTCGTGCATCTGTCTCCTTGTAAACACCAAGAAATTCTTGATTTTTGTTGATAGAAAGATAATTCACATTCCAATAATTTGTTATAAGCAGAGGAGAAATCTTTTTCCTGTCCAATGTATGATGCATTGAAGGGATCATCTTGGAGAGCCTTTTGAACATTTTCCAAATTCTGCTTTGCTCTTAATACCTGCTCACTGATATTGTTGAAGTGCCTCTTGTTGAGATCTTTTAGTGCTCTTCTAAGTAGCTTCAGTTTAGTACACACTGAGAACATAGTGTGACCTTGCACATGAACTTGCCAAATAGAAGAAACAGTAGGAAGGTAATCCTCATGTTTTGTCCACATCTTGAAGAACTTGAAAGGCTTCTTACCATGCACATTATCATCATATATAGAGACAAGGCCTGG